AATTAATCATGATGGGGGCACTCTTGGCATTTTGGCAACCTTGCTTGCATCTGTGTGATGATACAGCAGTTACTGGCCAGTAAATATTTTCTAGTACATTGCTAGCTTCAGTTTTTCTCATTAGTTTTGTTTATGGTTTTGGGGGTTTGGTGAATTGAACGCATATAAGGAAAAAAGACAGTAATTTGCTGTAGTGGCCATGAATGTTAAATCGGCCCTTCCGCAGCTGAACACTTCAGTCCGGCAAATCCCGGATTGTACTGTGTCTTCCATGCTGCCAAATTTAATGATTCATCATTCGGGCTTTTCAGCACGTTGCCTTGACGCTAAACCGAGCAGATACGTTCAATATGCTTGCTTGTGCTTTTATAATTCTAGAATGATCTGTGAGTTGCAATTCAGGGAAATGCGACATTGAACCTGTAAGCGCATATAATAAAAATCAAAAGTATTTATTTGAAAAATAGCTATTTCTGAGCACATCGATGAATCAGTTAAAGGAATAATTCATGCTACTTTCAGATGCATTTGGTAAGTGTGTTAATCATTTTTAATTAATCAGTGAGTTTGAGTGCATTGCTAAGAGAGACTGAAGGACCTTTCCGAACTAATGATGAGATGGCACTCCCAGATGGGCAGCTGGGCTCCCAGTGTGATGCATTGCATTCTGGGTATGGTGTGTTTTTTGTTTTGGTTTGGCACTGCATGCAGGCACACACACACACACACACACACACACACACACACACACAGTACCCCAGGTTTAAACTGCAAGTCATCTCTAAAATCCAGCATCTACAGTTACATTTTATAAAAAAAGGAGGTTTTAATAAATATTGCTCCTGCCATTATCCCCCTTTTTTTTGCACCACTTTAAAATTAATTAGTGTTTGAAAAAGGCACATTTCTGCCCGATGATCAACTTCCAAGCATGGTAAATGGCCTTTCTTTACGGCTAATAAATTAAAGGCGTTATATCGCCTTCCGACACAGCGGCGCGGCCTCATAAACAGCCAGCTCTGAGTCTCACTTGATTACCTTTTCCATTACGATTCTTTATAATCCTTGTGGGAGCGAGAATTCATTCGCTTTTAATGCCGCGCGGGAAGTGTTCCGGTGAGGCGTGTATAATTACTCAGCTGTGACCGGGATCTTTTTCTCACCTCCAAGTGTCCATCCCCCCCCCCCCCCCAAAACATCACATCGCCGCACGCCGCTGTGATAAAGCACCGCTTCCGTCCTCGTAATCAGGCTTTGTGGAAGCCTGCGGCAGATTCGGATAAGATCTGGAGCAAAACCCGAATGCTGATATACCTGTAAGCGGCATAAATTACAGGGGTAAACAGCGCTAATGAAAGGGGATATCGCTATGAGCGCTGAAATTTCCATCTGAGTGCGGCTCGGTCCAGTTATTGATTTTAAGATAACCATCTTCTCACTGATTACATGCAATGATAGGATATAAATTAAATTTTGTGACATATTATGTAGATAAAACGCTATTACAGGCAACCGTAATTCCTGCTTAAACAAGGCACCTGGCTCTCATAAACAATACATAAGCATTCATTGAAGATAATGTCTACTACTGCCGTTTAAGCGATTTAAGAGCTTCTTATCTCCTCCATACAGTGCAGTTTGCTATCATTAGCGGTGCATTTCTAACATTTTTCAATGATCTGTAGCCTGTAAACAAGCTCCCGGAGCTTTCGGTCAGTGCTACTGTAATGTCAGCAAAACGAAAATGGGACTGATGATTTCTGTTACTTTGAGGAGTATCAGCAATAATTGTCTCGCTTAGGGGTGGATTTAAAAAGGAAATGCAAGGCCAGGATGCAGAACCCAACTTAGAGTCACCTAAGGACAGGGGCATGGGAAAGATGATTCCAAGGGCCCCTGGTTGACAAGGGCCTTAAAACATAATTAGATTGGTGTGGGTTGGGGGCCCCATATGGTATGCTTTCATGGGGCCCAAAATCTCTAAGGACAGCCCTGTCTACATATGATGTATACATATTTGTATCTACAAAGATAGATAGATAGATAGATAGATAGATAGATAAATAGATAGATAGAGTACTGTAGATATTTCTCAGACCATGTAGCTGCAGGTTAGAAGCATTTTTATCTCACAGCTTGCGATCGCCAGGCATTGCGTTTGTCATTTACCAACCGCAGGTAGGCGACCTCTCTAACTCGAACCCAGCACCGCACAGGGTCTGAGACCACCGCTTGTTGAGACCCATCGATACTCAGGCACGGGGAAGCTTGTCAGAAGCAATTTGCCCGGCTGTGTCGCGAAGAGAGCCGCTTGACGCGTTTTACCTGGAGGTAATTAGGTTCGGCTCCTTTAAACCGAATAAAATAACCGGCGAGCTGGCGTGACGCGGCGGCAGGTATTTCTGTTATTTGTTCAGGCTGCGAGTGATGGATCCTGCAGGAGGTGACCTCGGTGTCCAAGCCGCGTTGGAAAATGTCAGAAGCTGGAGAAATCTGACAGAAACAAAGAGGCGCGTGAGCTGGCTGAGGCTCGTTCTTGGGCGTTACGCGGCAGAAACCCTGCAGGAAACGCTGCTCCCGCACTTCCCCTGTAATTAGGAGCGTTTGCCAAGATCCTTCAGTCACATTAGGGAAAAACAAGCATCGCTTCATCCCTCGGTGGTATTAAAATGAAAAGCGCATTGTGATCGCCTTTAAATGCTCTGTTTATTTGAATAATTCCAAGAACGTCATCGCCTCAGGTGCAAATAGGCAGACTGTGTCTCGAAGCAGCTTCTCCCAAGAGCCTATTGACATATATGTTTTCTATATATATACAATAATTTAAAAAAATAGTTTAGTGGTATTGAAAATGCGCAAACGCCACACTGAAGTGATTAACAGGAAGCCAGTGATTAACGGCGACTAATCCTGCAAACATTTTGCAACACTTCAATAGAAATTGTGCTTTTCATTGTTGGTATTATTCAGAGCCAAACGGGGACGTTTTTGTTACATTTTCAATAAGTATGTTATCATGGATGAAAGGGAAAACAATTTGAATGTGGCTAGTTTATGATATCTCTCCCTTCTATAAAATCATTCAATAAGCCATCCTTGGTAATATTATAAGAGGATAAGTTGGAACAGGCTTTACAACAATGACCATGGATCTAAATGTTACATATGTGATTAGCTAAAGGTTAATGCTGTCTTGGCTGTACTGCTACTGGGTAACAGGGCAAGTTAAAGCCTTGCAATGGAAAAAAAAATCAATGGAATTTCACTAGTTTAGCTTAGCTTAGCCTAGCTTAGCTTAGCATATCAATGGAAACAAGCCCCACGGTTAGCCTGGCACTGAAAAAGATCTCTTGGTGAATTTGTAAGAAACACGCACGGCTATTGTGCATTAGCGTATTTGGGCTGGATTAGCTGCTTTTCGGTTGCTTACGTAAATAAGAATGGAGTCTACAAAGCTTGTGAATTAAGTGAATAAAGATGATTTATGAGGGTGTGAGGACAAATCTCAAAGCGGAGTCGAGCGGGAATACCGCAGACAAGCCAAAGCGAAACGGCGAAAATCTCAACTACTGTGATATTTTCATTCCATTTTTTTTTTCCTGCCTGAGGAAATGTAGCTGGAGGGAAAGGGGAAAAAACAGCTTCATCAACAGACGTCAGACACTAAGTATTTAATCTTCGGCGCTTGGAGAATACAAATGCTCGAGTAATCTTCTCTGACCTTGACACCCACAACAAGGTCACGTGGGAGAAGAATTCTTGAATTCCCATTGATGGCTTCCTGGGACGCGCAGAACAATTAGCGGACTGGATTGAAGGCACCGCATGTGCTCTCAAAGGAAATGTACCTGTTTTCTTCCTGTTTGGCACCCACTGCGTTGCTGTGGCAGAAACACTGTCAGTACCACTGGGCCAGGTCAGTCCTTGAGGCCTCTGGAACGGCTGCGTCGTTAGGAAAACTCATCTGTCTAATTAAACTATTTCCTTGAAACTGACCTAGATGAACAACATAATGAAGCTGTGTGCATTCACTAACACTGAGTTTAAAGGGTTGGGATTTTTTTTTTCTCTTTCTGTGCGCTGATTTTTAAACTGGACATTTTGAATGTATATAAACTCTTATTCATTTTTTCCAGGAAATATAATCCTTGTGCAGGAACTGCATGCAGACAAAAAGTGTAAGAGAAACTCAGAGTGAGAAAAATTACATTCCACATCATAAATTCCAGGTTTTACCTGAAATTTTCTGTGTGGATGGGGGTCGAAAACCAAAATAGATGCCCCCCGTCATAAGCGCAGCCCATGTTCTGCATTCACAGTCCGTTCAACACCCCTCGGTCCAACAAGGTCGGCCCAAGGTACTGTAGAACAGTTGCTGACCTGTGCACAATTTTAGTAGAAAATGTATTAAATCACCACGGAACAGGATGGTTGTGATAGTGATGGATGTGGATTGACAGGTATATGTGAGCCAACGAATGACACCAAGAAGGCCTTCAGCAATTCCCTCATTCCGGTTTCACTTAACCGTGCAAATGAAGACTAATCGTTTGCATTTTGCTATCAGTCTTTTTTATTTAAGTTCAGTCCTTTCTCAGTCTTTTCCATCATTACTGTCATTCTCTGGGATTCTGGAAAAAAGGCCTAGTTTTAAGAACTCTCCAGCATAAATGAATACAATAATAACATTTAAATCGTCCAGCAAAAATAACACATCAGACCTACATTAAAATTTTTTTTAGCATTTTTCCAAAGCGAAGTGCATTTGAGGACGCAGGGTTAGGCAGTCCCTGGAGTAATTTGGGTTAAGAAACGTGCTTAAGGGCCCAATGGTGACATCACTTTACTAACAATGGGATTTGAACCAACAACCTTCTGATCCTGCAGCGCATTCTAATCCACTGAGCCACACACTACTGCAAGAGATCGTGTGACCAGAGGGCTGATTGTTAATAAACAATTTATTGGTATTTTTCTATTGATGTTTTCATCGCTCACAGGGCGCCGCGCTGCATCGGAGCGACACGCTGCCTGCAGGGGGAGGCTCTGCCGTCGGGGCCAGCAGTGTGTGCTGGTCGAGGGGACGGGACAGACGCACTGCGCCTGCCAGGAGAGATGCCGGCCCAGCTACATGCCCGCCTGTGGCTCCGACGGCAAGTTCTACGAAAACCACTGTGAAGTTTACCGCACCGCTTGCCTGAAGAAAAAGAGGATCTATGTTACTCACAGCAGGGACTGCTTCTTCAAAGGTAAGGCAGACACCGGGAAGAAGGCAAAATCAGACGATTCACCCGCTGATTCTTTATGAGGGATTTGCACAAGTAACTCACGTAAAGCATAATGTCACCCCATTGGATCAAAACCTGCACGACGGGTTCATTTTGGCTCTAGAGACCCGAGCCAAGGTACTTGTTCATTCTCATTTGATGGCACACCAAGAAAATGTTTTTGTCTCTTCTAATGTGAATGTCATCGACTGTGTGGAAAACTTTGGCGAGCGATCGTTCTTCAGACTGTGCATCTGGTGTCCAGGCCTCTGAGATCAAACTTTTCAAAATCACATAGCTACAGTATTTCCCAAAGCACAATTTCTCAGAAATGCTGTTTATGTATGTCAGGTGTACGTACACACGTACATGCAGTATATACTGTTCACGTGTACCAGCTGGTAATAGCAAGAAACACAGGAAAGCAGTTAAAATAGTTTTATCACTAAACCGAAGCTGATCATTACATAGTTTGAAAACCAAAAGACCACTGATAGATTGGCTATAAAATAACTGAAAGCAGAATAAAATACTTTAGCATTTGAAAGTAAAAGGTGGTACCCATAGTCTTTTCTTTGCATCTATTGGGGAAAAGTAGCAAATGACAAAAGACACGGTTTTGAGATTTTGCACATTTTTAGAATATATGCCTCTGCTCCCTATGGTAACAGACTCTTTGCATGTGATTTTGTTCCTTCTGGCATTTTAATACATGTTCTGTATTTACATATACATTCTGTACCCGTATAATATATTCTGGTAAATAAACAAAAAGGCAATGAGAAAGAGAGTGGAGTAGGCAGACTTAGGCAGACTTGGAGAGGTTTGAAGGCTGTTGTATAAAGAGATGTATTTTTAGGCTTTCTGTTCTGTGGAACCTGTTCTGTGGAACTCAACAGTTTTTTTAAACATGATTTGGTTCTAAACCCTTAGTTTACCTTTCATGGAGAATTTTTCTATGAAATTCAAAATTAGTCACGGCACCTAGATATTAAAAGAACGTAAATATACTGAAGCCTAAAGTGACCTTTTGAGAAGTAGTTTTCCTCGTTAAACTTTCCCAGAAGTTTCAGTCCAAAATCTGTATCGGACACTGACCAACGTTCTAGATATAATGGCAAGGGCTGACGGATCTTATACAGAGATTAGATAAGATACATCATATTTTTGTTGCGGCATTTGAAAATGTGAGCTAGCATGGTGATGTAGTGAAGTTCTGCGGAAATCTTTTTAGACCCTGCTAATTGATAAATCTGTGAAAGACATACCAGAGTGAGAAGATGCTTTGTGTTTTGTTTTTTTTTTTGTTTTTTTTTTTAAAGTTTTAATTCCATTGCTGAGTAGCAGGGAGCTAAATCGCTCGTCTGTCGCAGCCCGAAAAAGCATCGCTTCATCTCGTTTATAGATCTGCATTGCTAACCAAAGCCAAGGCTTCTCCAGAGCTGCTTATGCAAGAGCAGCAAGTATCCTGGGGGCCCTGAGTCATTTTGCATTAGATGGGAAGAGAACTTCAACACTTTCTGTCATGCATGTTTAATCCAAATTAGGCAGGTGTTCAATTGCCTTTTTGCACATTACAGCGGTTGCACTGTGGGACATAAATTCTTTCAAATGAAGAGCGATTTCTAAATGTCAGTTTTCGTTTATTTATATATCTTTCACTGAGAGAATAATATAATCACAAAAAAAAAATCTCTCAAGAAGCTACGCATTTACATAATTAAGAAACATATATTAAGAACTATATTTGCAAGATGTAGGGTAAAAATTTTGACAGTTCTCAGTTTTGCATTTCAATTATTCATTCTGTCTATGAGCAATGAATATCTTTTGTGAATCGTGTGGGTTTTTTTCGACTAGATATGTGTTCAATAAGCACATTAGGACATGAATTCATTGTCATGCTTTGAATTGCTTCACTGAAGTCAAATTTTATTTATTATAACATTTATCATAACTGAATGAGTAAACAATCTTTTCAGACCACAGCGGGGGAGATGATTTCCAAAACAAGGACAGACTCTAGAATATAAATGGAGAGGGCAAAGTAAGAGGTAGAATCCAGTAATGAACAACCATGCAAAAACAGATTAAAACATGAAAACGGGAAGTTAATTGAGTTTCTTGTTTAAATTGTGGTGTGAAAGAAACAACACATTTTTAAGGGTGACAACAACTGCTAAAATGATTTTAACAGATTAATAGGTGATAACAAGGGAGAAAAGGGCGAATTGTTCGCTAAGTTGCGTACGGCTCAACACGTTAGGCAGACAGCATGAAATGAGAATGGCATTCTGTAGACGAACAGCAGAAGATGGTGTCAAAATATCAACCAAATTCCTTGATAATTTCAGAATGAATAACATTTGACTTGGGTGACCAGACAAGCAATATCAGAGAGGACACTTTGAGCTACTTCAGGTTTTACAAACTACCTTAAACCCGAAAGGCTCCTTTGTTAAATAGTTCAGCTGTTCTTGTGCTTTGACTGGTTCGTTTCCTTGATTGAAAGACCCATCCGGCTTTGCACATTAATATCAGTGACACATGCGTGATTATAGGAGACTGACCAATCAGCACTCGGCAAGAACCCAGTGGTCAAGTGAAATCCGGGTCCTTTTGATTGAAATGGTAATTTACAAATCCTGTCCTGGATCAAAGTGTCCCCCTGACATGGATTATACTGGTTACCCACCATTTTGCAGAAGCTGGCTCATTTATTGGTATATTACTGGCATCCGTGTTAACAAACAGGTGTAATAATGTGGACAAAAATTGCACGCAGGTGCAGTGATTGGTGCACCGCGTTTCCAAATCCAGTTTGACAAGTTAAATTCACTTCCAGTCACCATATAGATTGTACAGATTTGCATCAATAAGCCTTAAGCTATTTGCAAAAGTCAACAGTTCTGTCTTTAAATATATTACGTTTGGTCAAAGGTTACCTAATATATTCTCCTCATGGACTTAATGGGAGGCAAGAATCATTTGTTACTATTGTTCTCATAACACAGCATACCGGAATATTCTTTTCAGAGAGGTCTGTTAATTTTAGGTACCAACGGACTCAATATTACCATGGAGATGCAGGAATATGAATTCAGGGGATTATTCATTATAATAAAAATTACAGAGGGACAAATTGATGATCATTATGGTTTTTTTTTTAATTCCTGGCACACAGTCAATCCCCTTCCCCCACACACACATACCATTTCCTGCTTCCCGATTTTCCTATTTTTCAGTTCAATTCTTCAGTGCTTGTCACTGTACGTGTCATCACAACCAGACTGATTTAGCGATTTGTTAGCCAAGACAAGACATGTAATATATAAACAACATATACAGCAGTAACACGTGGTTTGCATTCATGATCACACGACCGTAGACTCTTAGACAGTACCGGAGACATGAATGATTGAAGCAGTATCTATATCATTTTTTTTATCCACCAACAATAAATATGTATGCAGAGCGTATACAAAGTTTAGGTAACCGCCACCCACATTTGTTTATTCTAGGCTGCATATCGCACAGGAAAGAGAGGTTAACGCAGTTTGAAATTTCAGCGCTGGCGCTGATTTTTTTATTTTTTTTCCCGACACTGACTGAGTAACGTTCGCTCGCATGTTTGCAGCTGCAGGGATTCTGAGGTTGGCTGGTTAGCGGAGACGTGCTGACACACTTTTTTTTTTCCCTGTGTTCTTCATCCGCGGGGAATTGGTGGGGAAATTAGAACACTGTCACCCCTGCGTACTGGGCGGAGCGTGACGTCAGATCTGTCAGGCGAGGGGATTGAACCGCGTGGGGAGCGGAGCGAAGCGCAGCGTCTCTCAGCTCCGGTTACCGGGAAAACCTGTGTCTTACTCGCACTACTGAGCAGATAGCGGAAGATGGATCACATCGAACAAACAAGCAGCGCCATAGCTACTTTCACTATCGATGGCCACTACTGAAGTGCTGAAACTTGTCACCAGTGACACCAGATTGATTTGCGCATCAAGAAATTGTTCATAATTAATGTTCATGGTGACTGCTGGAGGAAAAGAAAAACTATAAACATAGAAAATGATGAAATTTTTGCCCGATGTCTGCAAAGCTCTTCGTGGCAATCGCCCGGACAACGGAACACAAAGTGCTTGGCTTCTCAAACGGAGAGTCGTACTGCAAACAGTGCCAAATTTACTGTGAACACAAATATTACTACTATCCCTCAAACTGTCCTTGCTTCAGAAGTATTCCTTGTTTTGCTCTTTCCAAATCTTGTTTAAATGTCTTTCGTATCAGAAAATAGTCGCGTAAATAATGAACTTAGGAGCTTCATGTTGGAATTCTCCTTCAGGGCGTAACTTTGGGTTTTTTTAGGGACCAAATCAGCCCCCAACCCCCTAAACACACGCAGTACTCCCATAACATTGATAGGGACATGCCCCTACCATCCATGCCCAAATCTACACAGCTCAGAAAATGTCCCAGACGAGACGTACACGACCAGTGTCGGGTCAAACTCTGTAATGAATGTCATCTTTTAATAGAAAGCCACAAATCACGCTTGTCAGAGTACAAACCAATGACACATTAATGTACCATATCAAAGCTGTGTTATAAACTTTAATATCAATTAAGTTTTACCATTTGGTTGATTATATGTTATCAGGAATACTACTTTTTACATTGTGCTCTCTCTCTCTCTCTCTATATATATATATATATATATATATACACACACACACACACACACACACACACACACACATAATGTATAGTGGGAATTTGATTTTTACAGCATGGTTTTTAAAGCAAAACAACTGCACATGTATTCACCTGGAGAAAATGTAACGCATTAGTCTCATCTTTCCGTACATTATGATGTAATGTTTCATCTTCTGGCCTGCATGCATTTGTGGCCATCGAGATTCCTGTTATGGGTCACGGGAAATATAAGCTACATGATATATATATATATATAAGCCAATACATAA